ATGTGTACTTCTGTTTCATGAGAAACTATTTGTTCTGTAAGCCCCTGAAGTACAATAAAAAATAAATAAATAAATAAATTGTGGGGGAGGGCAGGGGCAAGGTGGGCTCGGGCTCTTGGTTTAGAGAGGTGATTTGGCTCAAGTGGTTGGGTAGGGGTGGAGGTTGCTGTGAATTTATTGATCACCAGCCATGGGACTTTGCCTGCCCCAGAGATGGTGGACAAAGCCCCTGTGCAGGAGTGTGCTGATAAACTGGCTTTCCAGGGAAAGGAAGAAGGTCCTGGTTTAGCATCTGCCCATTTTGGTGGTGTAAATGTCCCACCATGTCCCATTTAGAGTTACCAGCAGTTTAACAACTGGCTTATAAAGTTCCTGAATACTTAACAATCAACTCTTGCCCACTGCCCATTGAGACCACTGCCCCCACTGGCACTCAGCAGCCCTCCACTTCCATGCCCTTGTTTGCACAATGCCCTTATCCACTGGGTAGACAGAGAGCCATTTAAGCTCCCTCGGCATTGTGGGTCCTAGAAGGCCAACCAGCTTGCCTCACAGCTTATCATGATGCTCACTTAGGTGAAGGATATGCAATGACTGCCCAAGTGAACACCAAACCCAATCAAGTGATGTGCCACAACCCAAGTGCCCAAGGACCCCACCATTTCTACTCCAGAACAATGGGGAGATCTGACTTGAGGTTCCACCACCAGGGTTTGAAAAGCCCCAGTCTGGGGCATCTGGCAGTCCCAGCGGACAAGTTGCCCTGCCTCTCCCCTGCCTCGGCCCACCAGCCTCCTTACTCATTCCCACCTCCTATTTGGTCCACCCTGGTGCCTGGTTTGGCACCTGACCAACAGGAGACCAGGTGTTCGAGGTGACAAACACGAGGGAGGCAGGAAGCCACTGGGTCAGCTCCCCGGGCAGTGGGACAACGCCCATCCCAGGGCTGGGAGTCCATCCGCAAAAGTCCATTTGCAAGGAGGGGCTTCCTGTTCTTGCAGGTGGCTAAGCATTTCTCTGCATGCAGATTTCCCCCTGTGCAATCTTCTTGGAGATCCACCTGCTCTTGACACCTCCCCAGTGACTCCATTTCCCCACTTCGTGGGCTCCTGGAATGCCACAATGGCCCCACTTTGGCCAGGCAGCTAGGAAGAGGGATGTTGACCCAACTGCCTCTCTGGCTCACTGAATTAGGTGGTAGGGGCTGGAGCCAGCTGGGACTGGAGCCAGTGGCAGGGACTGGGGATCTTTTTGTACGGCCAGGGACCCTGGGACCATGCAGGGCAGGACTGGGGCCAGGACACCTCTGGGATTCAGCCAGGCACTGGCTGCTGTGTGGCACAGGGAGCTGGTGAGGGACAGGCTCTAGGCCAAGAAAAACAGCCCCAGAGCCTCAGGTGTGCCACCTTCTTCTTCTTCTTCCATCCTTAATCTCTCTTGCTTGGTGAGAGCACATAGACAATCACAAATGCCAGGTTTTGTGTGAGGCCCAGACTCTGGTTCATAACAGGAGACAGATGGGTGAACAAACCATCACAGCGCACTATGATTACACATTCAACCAGACGTGGGTCTCATGTCCTGGGAACAGAATAGAAGTCTCCATGCGAGGTGACATTTAAGTAGGGTCCCTTCAACAGTCCCAATCTCTCTGTGCAGGCCCACACCAGGCCTCTGGCCCCAGGATTCACAGCTGTGCTTTGCGGGCTTCTGCAGGGGGCGTCCCAGGGCCGCCTGCAACCCCACCAGTGGGAGGGTCACACACAGCCTCCTCTAGCCAGAGCTTTCCAGGTTCTCTGTGCTGGCATCGCCAACATGGAGACATTCCCCCTTTCAGAATAAAAGGGAGTGGAATTCTGCATTCCCCTTTCCATATAGAGGACCGGGCTGAGGGGTGGGAAGGGGAGGGCTGCAGTGCCTGGGGAAGGGGCTCTCAGAGAGTTCTGGAAGGCAAAAGGGACGAGCAGGGCAGGGAGGAGACAACGTGTGTGGCACTGAGGATGGGGCCTGCCCAGAGTCAGAGCCGGATCCCTAGGGGACCAGGAGCCACCCCATCCTATGTCTACCCCTAGAACTATCAGGCCTGCCAGCCCACTTCAGAGCCTTAATGAGTAGCCCAGAGGCCCCGGCCTAGCCTCGAAAAACATTGACTCTGAATTAGGTGTGATCAACGAGAGAAACTTCCTGTAGAAATTGAATTCCCGATAAATGTGTGGCTATCTGTGTGCGTGTCCTTAGTCGTTTAAAAAATGATTCCCGTGCATTCTTGATCCTGGGCCCCTCCTTTATCTCCCTCTCCAGGGCATCTCATGGGATATGATACAGGGGTTAGATGTTTCAGAAACACCCATCCAGTGCCTGGCACCTAGTAGGGGCTCCATCAATGTAAGCTTCTTTCCTTTGACCACTCCAAGTGGTCACTTGCAGGTGAGGCCAAAAGGGATTTCTCAGTCTGAAAACGGATGGGCACCTGGTCCCTGCCTCCCCCTTCCTTCTCTGGCTGATGACAAACACTGGGATGTCATAACGTCCTTGGAGTCCTCACGTGTTATTCTGGGACAGGGGCTGGGGAGGGTACCCAGGTAGGTCCCTCTGACTGTGGCCGGCCTTTTTGGCAGCGTGGGCTGGCCTGTGCCCGTCCCGTGGATGGATGCAGAAGGGTGAGGCACTGATCTTGCTAGTCAGGCAGGATGCTGGCAGGAGGGTGGGTCGAGAAGGGCAGGGCCTACAGAACAAAGGAACACTGGGGGCCCAGGCTAGGCATCAAAAAGGCTCTGCAGAGCAAGCAGGCCACAACACTGCCTGCCTCTGCACCCAGCAGTCCATCAGAAATCCCTCGTCTGGTCCCTTCTGCTTGCCCACAGCCGGGCAAGTAAGCAGCCTTTGTTTAGAAGGCCTTGCTCTCCGGCGTGATTCCGCCGACACTGCTCTGTGGCTTTCTCTACTTGGTGTGGATTGCTGCGGCAGTTCCAGAGGAGAACAGAGGCATGGCTGGGAATGGAGCCAGGAGCCAGGAAGGCCACCGGGAGCATGCCTTTGTCCCAGGGCCTTTTGATGGAGCCAACCTTGCCCCACATCTCTGGCTCCACCGCTTCGAGGTCATCAACGACCTCAACAATTGGGACCATGTCACCAAGCTGAGATTTCTGAAAGAGTCCCTTAGGGGAGATGCCCTGGAAGTCTACAGAGGACTCAGTCCTGAGGACCAAGGAGACTACAAGGTTGTGAAAGAGATCCTAATGAAGACCTTTGGGGTCCCCAGTGCTGCCCCCAGCCACCTGCCCAAAGAGATCATCTTTGCCAACAGCATGGGTAAGGGCTACTACCTCAAGGGGAAAATTGGCAAAGTGCCTGTGAGGTTCCTGGTGGACTCCGGAGCTCAGGTTTCTGTGGTCCACCCGAGCTTGTGGGAAGAGGTCACTGATGGCGATTTGGACACCCTGAGGCCCTTCAAGAATGTGGTCAAAGTGGCCAACGGTGCTGAAATGAAGATCCTGGGTGTCTGGAATACAGTGATGTCCCTGGGCAAGCTGAATCTGAAGGCAGAGTTCCTAGTGGCTGATACAAGTGCGGAAGAGGCCATCATCGGTACTGACGTGCTCCAGGACCACAATGCCATCCTGGACTTCAAGCATCGTATATGCACCCTGAAAGGAAATAATTTCCGCCTTCTGCCTGTTGGAGGGTCTCTGGAAGATGAGTTTGACCTGGAACTCATAGAGGAGGAACCCTCCTCACAGGAGGGGCAGTAGCAGCTCCCCCATTGAGAAACCCCCTTTCCTACCCTCGAAACCTTGGCAGGAAGACCCAGCAGAGTAGGGGGAGCATATATCCTCAGGGGAGTTACTGGGCTTTGCCAAACCTCAAAAACAAACCCTTGCCCTCCCCCTCCCTCTGCAGGGGCCCTAATCTGCCCCTGGTGGAGGAGGCACCCATTTACAAAGGCACAGGTGAGGGAGAGCAGGCAGCCTTTCTTCAGGGGAGAGGGTCCCCATGGTTGTCAAGCCACTATTGGTGGCAAAGACTCGAAGTCTGGAAGAAGGTTGGAGAAGAAGGCTAGGAATGGTTGTCTTTGATGTGGGACTAGGGGACCCCTTAAGATTCTCTGAGGTGCGGCTCAGTAACCTGCAGTTCCACACAGTCTGTCTCAGCTAGGCTGGGTATGGCTGCAGGGTCCTCATGAGCAAGTCCCAGCTCATGGGCGAGGATCACAACTGCTCTGGGATTCTTTCCTGTTGAGTTCTCCCACCTGTGCAATGGAATGTTTCCTTCTGTCATTTACTCTGAAACCCACTGAGCCTTGTACCAATTATTCAATTACTTCAAAAACCAATAAAGATTGATTCACGGAAAAACCATGTAATGTGTTGATTGGAGATGAATGGAGTGGATGTGTGAGGGCAGGAAAAACAACAAATGTCAATGGGATGGAAGAGCCAAATATTTACTGAGTGCCTTCTATGGCCCTAGCCTGGAGATACAAGAGGAATATATATATATAGTAACTATCTTGGATTTTCTAAGGCAGCTTTTTCAAATATTTTTACTTATTTCCCCTATTATTCCTCTCATCATTTCTAATCTAATCATACATCCTTTAATCATTTCAAACTACAATATTCTAACATTCAAATGTCCCCTTGTACTCAAAAGTGACCCTAAAGTTGAGAGATGTCTAGATTGGGGATTGGAAAATTGTGGTTATTATAAACAAGCAGGAAATTATCTGCCTGGCAAAGAGGTTCTTATAGTCCACTGGGAGCCAGAACTTGGAGGCAGAAAGCAAGGTCAGGAGGCAAGAGTTGACCTGTGTGGGGCAGCCCAAGGGAGCACTGGAGGATAGAGGAAGGGGCTGCAGTGGGGCTCCAGCAACGGGGGCTCCAGAAGTGGGAGGACAGCTTCTTCCTGGAAGGACTTGAAGTGAGCTTGATACTAGAGAGGCTAGTGGAGTGGGGTGGATATGCCCAGATCCCTGAATGGGGTGCTCATCTCTTTTGAGGGTCCATCTCGTACTTTCTTCCAAGTTTCTGCCTCTCCCTCCAAGACTCAGCAGGGTTAGGAATCTGAAAGCCCCCCAACACAAAGGGAGAAGCTGAGTGGACAGAAATCTCCACAAAGGAGCAGATTTGTCCCCAGTCTCCCCACCAAGTACATCTGGACAGCCAGTTCTCAGGAGCAGGTGACCACACCCTCTGAGCTGACCATGGGCACTGGAAGATGGCCCAAGGCCAAAGGTTTGGAGCTGCCGGGACTCAGTGATCTGCAGGGAGACTGAAGGGCGAGAAGGGCCATTTTCCCATCATGAGGGTGGAATGACCCTCTTCTGGAAGTTTACCACCTGGATATCCCTGAGGGAGGGACAAGCAGCCTGAGTGGGGAGCCAGAATGTGGGGCTCCCTTCTTTGAAGCTAAGAAGCCACTGGGACTTGCCTTTGGACCCCCTGAAATTGCCTAAGCCATTCCTGGCCCATTCCTCCCCAGAATCAAGCTATGATTCTCCCTGGGAACGAGGCCTCCCACTCAGTCCCTAATCCCCATGGTTTACTGAAACCTGGTCTCTGGGAAGGCAAACATCTTAACTGGAATTAGCTTGTCAGTCCCAGGGCAAGCAGGGCACAGGGCGGTGGTGATCTGGAGGAAGCCTTTCCCAGGAAAGCAGGCCTGGAGAAGGGGGTGGGGCACAGCCAGACAGGTTGGGAGAACTGGTGGAGGAGATGGTCCTTACACCTCCCAGGTCCTGCATCCCCGTTCTCAAATTTGTTTTTCAGTACCCCTCTCTGCTGGCCTAACAAGTGCTACTTCTCTCCTGGGCCAAACCCCCTCCTGAGGGAACAAGCCAGGTGGCACCCCCCTGTGACCTATTTTCCGCTAGGTCCTTCAGGTCATAGCCACTTGCTGGTCTGAAGGATGGAGGGTGAGGAGTGGGTGGGGAGGCGATGAGGGGATCGGGGACTGGGTGGCCAGGCCAGAATTCCAGGGCGACACCCAAGCTGCCCCTTCCTTGCCTTGCCCCCCCAGACAGTGGGGAGCTGAGCCCTGTCCCAGGCATATACGAACGAAAGATCTGTGTCCCAGCAGCACAGTCCCTTGCTCCTGCCCTGGTCTGAGTCAGGAGCAATGGTCTGAGTCAGCAGGTTCCGCGCCCCTCCCAGCTCCTCTGGCCATCCTTGGGCTCTCCCCTGGGGCAAAGGGAGCACGGATGTCTGCGTCAAGGGCCCCACGGCTCTGACCTGGAGGCCTGGAGTGAGATTTAAGACAGGTGCTACACGTGGGTGTGAGAGAGACTGCAAAAACAAACGTGGGGAACCTGGGCTGCACAATCCTGGTCAGCTGCTCCCTAGGGGCAGAGTATCAAAGGGGGAGCTGGTAGAGAAGCCAGGCAAAAGTGCGTTGAGGCCACATCCCAGAAGGCTTGATGCCTGGGTGAGGAATTCTCGCTCGACTTACTTGGCAGGTATCTGAACCGTGGAGGACCAGGAAGATTCCCCCTGAGTCTGGGATGGAGTGAAGGGGCAGCAAAGCAGTCCAGCTTGGAAGCTATATATCTTAGGGAGGGCTGAATTCAAGTTGATGGAATGGAGCAGATAAATGCAGGCATCAATGTAAAGGTTTAATCCTGGCTACACGTTAAACTCAGCTGGAAGACCAATTAAAGTCAGCTCTTCTGTGATTCTAAGGTTTGAGACTGCCTGGTGTAATCCCCAGCGGTATATACCCCCTTGCTACTCAAGACGTGGTCCCTGGACCAGCAGAAAGGCAGCATCAGCATCACCTGGGAGCTTGTTAGAAATGTAGAATCTTGATCCCCACCCAGCCCTGCACCGAAATCTGCATTGAACAAGATCCCCAGGTGATTCTCCTGCACAAGAAAGTTTGAAAAATGCTAGCCTAGAACATTCTAGTGTCTCTAGTTAAGGGAAAACGCATGGTCCCTACAGGACACAACCCCCCCTTCTCTAATAAGGACCACTACATACTAAATGCCTACTGAGTGCCCCAGCTATGCTAGATAATCCTCATGCTTTTATCCAGCAAACATTTATTTTATTTTTAAACTTTTAAAATAATTTCAGACTTACAAACAAGTTGCAAAAGTAGTACAGAGTTCCCATGTATTTTTCACCTAGTTTGCCCAAATATTAACATTTTACCAATTAATTTTATTATTTTCTCTCACTCTCTTTCTGTCTATATGTGTATATAATTGCTTTTCTGAACCATTTGAAAATTGCATATATGATGCACATTTACCTCTAAATAGTGTTTATTTCTAGAAAAAAAAAACAAGGACATTCTCTTATATAACCATAATACCCATTGCTGTTGAGTCGATTCCAACTCATAGTGACCCTGTAGGACAGAGCAGAACTGCCCCACAGGGTTTCCAAGGAGCAGCTGGTGGATTCGAACTGCTGACCTTTTGGTTAGCAGCCAAGCTCTTAACCACTGTGCCACCAGGGCTCCATAACCATAATACAATTCTTAAAATTAGGAAATTAACATTGATATAATAATACTATCATATAATCTGTAGACCTTATTCAAAATTTTTCAGTTGTCCCAATAATGACTTTTATAACAAGGAACAAATTTTTTGTCTGATCCAGGATCCAATCGAGCTACACATTGCATTTAGTTGTTTGGGCTCATTAGTCTCCTTTAATCTGGAACAGTCCCTCACTGTGTCTTTGTCGTTCATGACCTTGATATTTTCTAAGAGTACTGGGCAGTTATTTCCTAGAATGTCCCACAGTTTGGGGGAATCTGATGTTTTCTTGTGATTGGATTCAGGCTATGTATTTTTGGCAGGAATACCCGGAAGTGATGTTGTGTGGCTCACAGGATGCCTATTTGTCCCATTACTGGCCATGTTCACTTAAATCACTTGGTCAAGGTGGTATCTGCCAGGCTGCTCACTGCTCCACTGTAAAGTAACTATTTTCCCCTGTGTAATTAATACATATCTTGTGGGGAGATACTCTGAGACTATAGAAATAATCTGTTTCTCATTAGACTGTCAGCCACTAGATTCAGCACCCATGGATGGTCCTTGCCTGAATCGGTTATTATTGTGAAGGTTGCCAAATGGTGATTTTCAATTCTGTCTTTTCTTCTACAGTTATTAGCCAGCACTCAACATTAAAGAGCTTTCCCTTTAAGTAATTAATTAACTATTAATTTATATCATTGTGGACTCATAGATCCTTATTTTATTCAATGAGTTATACTTCATTACTATCATCTATCTTGATGTGCAAATTGTTCTAGATTTGGCTGTGGGAGCCTCTTCAAGCTGACTCCTATTTTCTGGTAACATGTCCCCATCACAGTCTGAGCCCATCCTTACTTTCTGGCACAAGATGTTCCAGGTTCATCTTGTACCTTTCCTGCACCAGCCCTGGAATCAGCCATTTCTCAAGGTGTCCTGGGTCCTGTTAGTGGAATCTGGTATTCAGAAACCAGGATTTAGGTGCTAAGTGTGCTCATTGCTACTGGGGTATCATTACTCCCAGGTCCTCTCAGTGGTCAGAGCTAAGCAAAAAATACATATATATAGTACATCTACACATATTTCTATATATTTATCTTTCTATGTATATTACAAATATGAGTTCATACTGACATCTCCAATTCCAACCCAGCCCCATAGGGCTTGTTCTAACCTTCCCCCTTTCTGTATTTGCAACTCCCTTTCTCCAGGTTGCTTAATTTCTCAATCCTAAAATACCCAGAACGTCATTTCAGATTTGTT